AGATGGCTTATTTTCTTAAACCTCATGAACCAACCTCTGCTGGCTTCTGACTTTTCTTCTGCAGCTTCCTCACCTCTCTCAGCCCTCATAGAACTGAAGAGAGTAAAGGTGCTGCTCTGGATTAGGTTTTGGCTCAAGGGAATGTTGTGACTGGTTTGATATTCTATCCAGAACACTCAGACTTTCTCCATATCAGTAATAAGGCTGTTTCTCTTTCTTATCATTTGTGTGTTCACTGGAGTAGTGTGTTTACTTTTTTTAAAGAACTTTTTCTTTGCATTCACAGCTTGGCTGTTTTCTGCAAGCAGGTTAGCTTTTAGCCTATCTCAGCTTTCGACATGCCTTCTTTGCTAAGCTTAATCATTTCTAGCTTTTGATTTCCAATGAGAGATGTGTGACTTTTCCTTTTACTTGAACACTTATAGTCCATTGTAAGGTTATTAATTGACCTAATTTCAATATATTGTGTCTCAAGGAATAGGGAAGCCCAAGGAGAGGGGGAGATAGTGGGACAGCCAGGGAGTGGAACAATCAGACCACAAACAGCAGTTATCAATTAAGTTCACCATCTTATATGGGCATGGTTCATGGTGCTCCAAAACAGTTACAATTTTAATATGAAACATCACTGATCCCAGATCATCATAAGAAGTATAATAACAATGAAAATTTTTAAATATTGCAAGAATTACCAAGATGTGCTACAGAGACATGAAGTGAGCACATAGTACTGCAATAATGGCAGTGATGGACTTGTTCAATGCAGGGTTGCTACAAACCTTCAATTTGTAAAAACTGCAATGTCTGTGAAACACAATATAGCCAAGCGCAAGCAAGTGGAGTATGCCTGTAAGAAACATACAATATGAAAAGTCAGCAGTGTGAGGCATTAAGCAATTCCCATGTTGCTGGGCACTTATGAAAGGCTCTTAGAATTTGGAGGAGAGAGAGTTAGCGGGAAGACTTGAAAGATTTAAGGTTTGAGCCAGACCCTGCAGGATGAGCTGAGAGAATCATCTTAGGCTAAGTAATGATCTCAAAAGTGTGAAAATTACTATTACTATAATCTTTTTCTGTTCTCCTATTTCTTCAGACTTTACTGGCCCCCAGAGGATGAAGGGCCTAATGTAAAGGAGAACAGGAGGCCTGATTTTGGCATTACCTCAAAGATTTGTCACCTTTGGCTGATCTCTGCAAAGGCGGAGGCATTAACAGCAACATAGGAGCTTCCTGCTATAGACTGGTCTGGTATTGTGGGATATTATTGTCCTCAAAAGCTGGGCGTGTGGGCCATGCTGATAAGGTCATCGGCATCAGTCTAAGGGCCATGTGTTCTTCAAAACTTTCCACTGACTCTTAGGAACAGCAAGGTCCAAAAGTGGAACACAGAGATTTATGCTGTTTGGAGTCTTGATTGCTTGGCAAGTATTAATACAATTCTGGGGCACTTAAGTTGGTCAGTGTGGTAAATTTTGCTCAACACCAGCTTTTCTGCCTCTCAGAGCTACTTTAAGTTCTCTGGCGATGTTCCCAAATAAGGGTAACCCCGTCTGGAGAAGCCTAGGCCTTTTCCTTCCTTTTGTTATTTTTTTTCAAGTGCTGCAACCAGCAGTCGGTACTCCTTCCTGCCCTCCCCCCGGGGAGTTGCTGACTTCTCCCCAGTGACATGTATTTGGAAACTTTTTAAGATACTAGAAAATCAGCTTAGAGACTTTCTTTTTCTTCTTCTTCTGTTTTTTTTTTTTTTAGACCAATGGGAATATTGCGTGTCGTGGATGGAAAGATTTGAATACTACTATGTTTTCACATTGAGTTCAATGTAACAAGGCCATTTCCGTGTCTTGGCACACAGCCTGAGTTAACTTTGCTTTGCTGGATGTGGACACAATGAATTCTGTTTGAACAAGAAATCATGTGTAACAAATGCTTTTGCAAAATCATGTCATGTCATTAAAGTAGTTACTTTAAGAAAGATGGGCTTCACAACAGCTGCAGTTAAATATCTATACACTGTTAACATATTTTTAAAAATAAACTTTTAATTATAGAATAGTTTTCAATTTACAGAAAAGTTACAAAGATAGTACAGAAAGTTACCAGGTACTCTCTACCCAGTTCCCTGATTATTAACATCCTATATTAGTGTGGTACATTTAATACAATAAATGAACGAATATTGATACCTTAATATCAACTAAAGTCCATACTTCATTCAGATTTCTTTAGTTTTTACCCAATGTTCTTTTGTGTCCCAAGATTTCAAATTGCATTTAATCTTCATGACTCCTTAGGCTCCTCTTGGCTGTGAGAATTTCTCAGACTTTATTTTTGATGACCTTAGCAGCTTTGAGAAATACTGGTCAGAAATTTTGTATAATGTCCTTCAATTGGGATTTGTCTGATATATTTCTCATGATTAGACTCGAGTTATGTACTTTTTGGAGGAAGACCACAGAGTGCCGTTTTCATCACATCATACCAAGGATATGAGTTATCAACATGATTTATTACTGTTGATGTTGATCTAGATGGCCTTGCTGAGGTAGTGTTTGTCAGGTTTTTCCACTGTAAAGTCACCGTTTCTTACTCTTTTTCTCTGCTGCACTCTTTGGAAAGAAGTCACTAGGCAGGCCATACTTAAGGAGTGGGGAGTTATGCTTTACCTCCTAGAGAGTGGAGTATTTATGTAACTCATTTGAAATTCTTCTGTACGGATTTGTCTATTCTCTCCCATTTGTTTATTTAATAATTCATTTGTTAAATATTCTATTTCATAAATACACTAATAGTCTTAATAGTCTATTTCAGTATAGACTCATAGATATTTATTTTATACTTTGATTATCATTGAATACGATTCTATTTTATTGTTCAAATTATTCTAATTTTGGCTATTGGAAGCTGTATTGGCTCCTGTGTCACTTTGACACACCCCATCATTGTAAGCTTTTTTTTTTTTTTCTTAATTACTTCTACTTTCTGGCCCACAAGATACTCTAGGATTACCTTGTAATATTTCCTGTCCCCAGCCTAGAGTCGGCTGTTTATCAGGGGAATTCTGTTTCCTTTTACTGGAGAATGGTTATAGAAACAAAAATCTGGGGGTTAGATGTACTTATTGCTACTGGAGTATCATTGCTTATAGGCCCACTCAGCTGACAGAGCAAGAAAATATAGATGTATTTTAAACCACATACATATATGTATATATATATATGCACAACAATAAATAGTTCTACATTTATTCATATGTATCCCTATTAAGGTAAACCTGAGTTCATACTGATGTCTGTAACCTTAATCCATTACCACATGGATCATTCTAGCCATTTCCCCTTACTTGTCTATAACCTTCCACTCCAGCAGTGAGAAGCCTGACTCTTATTGTCTGTCATCCATTTATGTAATTTTCTGATTCCAGTATACATGTATAGTGGTTTCAGAATTATGAATCTTGGGAAACAGAGTAATGTACTTTTATACAGTTCCTTTTGCCTTTGGTCTTACAGACTTTACTCATATCTAAAGTGACTTAGGGCCGGGAGTGGGGACTCATGCCTGTAATCCTGGCACTTTGGGAGGCCAAGGCAGGTGGATTGCTTGAGGCCAGGAGTTCAAGACCAGCCTGACCAACATGGTGAAACCCCATCTTGACTAAAAATACAAAAACTAGCCAGGCGTGGTGGTGTGCTACTTGCAAGGCTGAGGCACAAGAATTGCTTGAACCAGGGAGGCAGAGGTTGCAGTGAGCCAAGATCATGCTACTGAACTCCAGCCTCTGTGACAGAGTGAGACTCTATCTCAAAAAAAAAAAAAAAAAAAAAAAAAAAGTGACTAGGTTAGCACCCTTAGCACCCTTTTCCTCTACTTCCCTCTGTGAGGTGTTTCACACATTTATAATACAGTTCCATTATTTTGTCACAATTTACATTTCATTCTGGGCTCCCTTGACTTCCTGAATAATTTTTGAAAACTTTGTATGGGTTAAGGTTTGTTCTTTGTGATTTAAAGTTCTATAGATTTTGACAAATGCGTATTGTCATGTATCTACTATTACAGTATCATACTGAAAAACTTTATCACTCAAAAAAATCCCCTCTGCTTTGCCTATTCAACCTTTCCCTACCCTGATGAATCTTTGGTAATCACTCATCTATTTATTGTCTCTCCTTAAATTTAGCAGTTTTTAAAAAAATTTAAAGTTTTAAAAATATTTTTAGGTTTGGAGCTCTAATAAATTGATTGATCTTTCATAGATAATGAGTACTTTGTTTGAAAATGAGTATTTTTGACCTTAAATTATAGCTTTTATCAATTATACTTGGCAATTCACAGATTTGGGTTTGTGTTTTGAAGTAGCAATAACATCTTACTTTTTTTTTTTTTTTTTTAGAAATAGAGTCTTTCAGGTTGGAGTGCAGTGGCACAATCATAGCTCACTGCAGCCTTGAACTCCTGGGCTCAAGTGATCCTCTTGCCTCAGCCTCCTGAGTAGATGGGATATAGACATAAGCCACCATGCCCAGCTAATTTTTTAATTTTCATTTTTTAAAGATGAGATCCATTATGTTGTCCAGGCTGCTCTCCTGGCCTCAAGCAATCCTCCTGAATTGGCCTCCCAAAGTGCTGGGATTACAGGTTTGAGCCACTGCACCTGGCCAATCTTACCATTTTTGATGAAGTGACAGTCACTTATTATCTTTGCAGACCTTTGAGACATTTAGACAAATTGAGGCACTTGATGTGGGGAGTAGGATAAAGGAGTTAAAGGGGATATTTCAACAGAACATTTATGTAAGAGAATCCACTCATGCAAGGCAAGAGAGAAGTAGTAGTTATAGCTAAAAAAATTAAGGTAATGCCTACACAGCACTGACTTCATTGAGTACTAGAGCTGGGTTAGATACTTGCCGTAGCATAGGATCTTCATTTCAGTTCAGCAAACTCTCACTGAGTGTCTGCTCTGCTTGAAGCTGCTGTGCTGTGTACTCTAGGCTTACCTTCTCCTGCTGCCACGTTGGGTTGTGTACTTTCACTTTGGAAAAGTTGGCCATTCTCCGACATTCAAGGGCTTCCCCAAGCTCAGTTAGGGCATTCCTCCCTGACTACCTGGAAATAGGAAGACATGGGTGATGTCAGGTCATACTTCAGTCCCTCTCCCAACATGGCCTCAGTCCCACAGCTGCTAGTTGAATACATAGAATCACTTAACTTTGGGAAAAGGGGTGGAGAGGCCCTTTGTGCTACAGAAGGGAAAGGACTTTGACTCTCATTTCCTTCAAGTACCCTTAGGTTACTTCTGAAAAATAAGTGGAAGATATCAGAGGGGGAAAAAGCAAGAGACACAAGTACAAAAGGCAACGTTTTGTTTAATCTGAACATAGATTAGCGCATAGTGAAGAAGAAGGGAACTTACACTTACTGAGTGCCACGTATGTGCCAGAGTCTGTGTTGGGAGTTCTCACGTATTTATTCTCTTTTTTCCCCCCAACATGGCTCCGTGAAGTAGATTTTAAAAAAACAAAAAAACAAACAAACAAAAAAAACCTTTATTTTATGGATACATTGGGGTTCAGAAGAGCTCACTAACTTGTCTAAGATCATACAAAAAGAATTGAATCCAGATCTTCTTAATGCCCTGGCAGCACTCTAAAATAATCTTGGCCTTTAAAAAAAAAGTCTGAAACCTACCCCAAACTCAATTAAATTCCAATCTCTGAGAGTTGGGATGGGCATTAGTATTTTTTATAATTGGGCCAAGTGATTATAGTGTGCAGCCAAAGTGGAGAACTATGACTCTGACTAAAGAGGCAGTGCCTCTCCTATTACTCTCCACAAGAAGGGACGGGGCATTTTTTGAACGAGGGTGCATTCTAAATACTCTTGAAACACTTTCAGATACATCCCTTTTTCTCTGCTCCTTCTACCCTCCACCACAGGGTCCTCTTCATCTCTGGATATCTGTAAGTAAGCAGATGGAGTGAGGAGAGAAGTTGTTATTGATAGTAGAGAAATACAAATTCAATTGAATTAATTTAATCAATATTTCTTTTTTGATAAAACATGTATGTGTAGTGCTGATAGACTGTCAAAGCACAATGTCAAGTAGTGTCAAGAAAATTTGATATGGTTTTCTAAATTTGTTGACAACTTTGGTTCGTTGAATATGCATTCACCAACACCAAATAGTACTGACTTATTATCTTGGTTTATAGGGATCATAAAAAAGATGGGGCATGGATCTCTTGCTGGTAGGAAAATAATTTTGAATTCCTGAGATTAGATTTGTTAATTGCCATATAACATGTAACATTTTACCCCCAAATTTTTGAAGTATTGTGATTTACCATATCTATGGCATCTCAATTATAAAAATCCATTCTTTTACAGTCTCCTTTTAACCTTGAAATTGACCATGAGCAATCATAATATTTTGATTCAAATCAAAATGTTCAAATGTCATAATATTTTGAACACTTTTCATATGTTATGAAGAACCTCTTTGTATTTTCATCTATAACTAAAGGTGAATACATAAACACAGGCATTCTTGGAATTGGCAAAACATGTCATTTCATACAGTAGTTACCCTGGGCATTTATTTTAGGATATGTAAAACCAGAGTACCACCTCTCATGAGTTTTATCAATAGACTTCTGTTTTAATGGAGAATTAGAAACAATACAGAGAACAGAATGTTCATCTTCCACGCTATCCGACTAGCTCCGTCCTTCCTGTCCCTACTATCTGGCCCCTAGTGATGCAGAAACTACCATTACTACTTAGTGCAATTTATGTGGTTCCTGCTTGGTCACTGTTGGGTTTATGGAGCCTGCCTTAAACTATTAAACCGCAACAACATATTGCATGTTGGACATTGTGTATGGTCCTTCCTGATTTCTACACCTAATGTTAAGTTCCACAGGGAAATCTAAGGAAACCTTGATATTGCTCCCTGATTATTACACTATAGACAAATTGCATGGTGAATATACGTGTCTTGCTTACACTCATTTAACAGTTTTTTTTTTTAGCTTTGATCAGTTTATTGTCCAATTACTTATACTTTTCTGGCAAATGATTTCTTTTTCCTATTTGCCCCTAAAGTGAAATAGCCTATTTTGTGAGGATCATCTTGCCAAATTATAGCATTATTTTTAACTACCCAAGTCCATTTTGCATATGTCTACTGACTCAGGAAACATTCAGTTACATTCCTCAAATACCAGTAATAACACCCAATATAACCACTGCATATCAAATAATCTCCCACTTTTTCACCAGGATTCTTTTTTGCATTTTATTGCAAAAAATTTCAAACATAGAAAGTCGAGAGAATAATAAAACATATCCCCGTATACCATCCAGCTTCAGCAGTTATAATGTCATCCCTAATCTTGTCTTATCTGTACCTCACCTGTTCCTCCTCTTTTTGAAACTAACCCCAGATTTCATCTGTACATATTTCAGTGTGTATCTCCAGTAGATAAGGACTTTGGAAAAATTACAGCCACAGTACTACTATCATACCTTAAAAGTTAACAGTTCTATAATATTATAAAATATCTAGTCCGTTTTCAAATTTCTTTGATTTTCTCTAAGTTTCTTTTACATTGGTTTGAATCAGGATTTCAAGATCCTGGTATTAATTTTGTTGGTATATCTTTTTAAATCTCTTTTAATTATAGGTACCTCATTCTTTTTTTTCTTCTCTGCAATTTATTTGTTCAAGAAGTTGAGTTGTTTTATTGATTGCTTTAATCTAGTCTCCTACAAACCAGATTTTACTGATTGCATTCCTGTTGTATTTTTTTAACGTGTTTATCCGTGCCTTCTTTTTCCCATAAGCTGGTATTAGGTTTAGAAGCTTCCATTTTTGGGAGGACAGCTTCAGAGGATGTGATGTGTGCTTCTATCAGAAGGCACAAAATGAATGTTTGTACCCTCTTTTGTTATGTGAACAGTCATTGATGATTATTGTTTATATTCATTCCTTTGTGAGGTATTGCAAAATGGTGATACCCAAATGCTACCAATTTTAGTCTTTCATTATCTGGAATACTTTAAAGAGACTTTTCCCCATCAATGATTTGGTTGTCCTGAGGTACAGTTTGTGCAGCAAAGGGAGGTTGAGTGTTACTATTATCCCCCTTGTGTGTTTTCACAATAATGAATTGGTTCTAAAAGTGAACAGTGATTTCTTCATAGTATCATTATGACTATGTGGATCTCAATATATCTGATACATTTCAATCTATTGCAGTTATTCTTTTTATTGCTGCTCAAATTTCTTCTTTTTTTCTATTTTGGCCAGTAGAAGCCACTGAAAGTTGGCTCCTGAGTCCTTTTGACACAACCCTAGTAATTTTAGATAGTGTCCTTGCTTTCTGGTATACTTCCTGCCCCAGACTTGGTTAGCTATTTTTCCAAAGGGCTTTAGGCCATTTTAGTAGAAAATAGCATTTAGAAATAGCAATCTTGGTGCTGGGATAGAAGGTAATAATTTACTAAAAACCTATAGGGAAGGAGGGAATGAGCCATGTGGATATTCGGGAGGCCAGCATTCCAGGCAGAAAGAACAGCATGTGCAAAGACTCGGAGGCTGGAGCAGAGGGAGCAAGAAGAGGACAGTAGTAGGAAAGAAATAGAGGTGATGAGGAGCAGGCCAGGCAGGGCCTGGTGGGAAGCTGGAAGGACTTTGGCTTTTCTTGGGGTGAGATGGTGCCTTTTATAAATTTTGAGCAAAAGAGTTCCATAATCTTTTGTTTTCTTTAATTTTAACTGAATTGTTATGGGTTCTGGGTTGAAAATAGGCTGAGGAGTTTGAAGAGCAGAATCTGGGAGGAGACCAGTGAGGAGGCTATCACGATAATACAGGATACAGGCGAGAGATGACGTGGCTTGGATCAGTGTGGTAGCAGTAGAAGTAATGAGAAGAGTCAGGTCCTGGATGTATCTGGAAGATAGGACCCGCCGAATTTGCCAAAGGGTTGGACTTGGATTGTAAGGAAAGAGGATTCAAATATGACTCCAAGGTTTATGGCCTGAGATGTAAATGAAATTATAAAACATGATAACACGAGTGGCGTCTCTTCTGTGGGTCAGAACAGTGTGTCTGTGGGAAAGGAGCGAGGATGGGTCAGGCAAAACTTCATAGGGGATGATGTGGTTTGGATATTTGTCACTTCCAAATTTCATGTTGAAATGTGATCCCTAATGTTGGAGGTGGGACCTGGTGGGAGGTGTTTTGGTCCTGGGGGCAGATCCCTCATGAATGACTTGGTGAAAATGAGTTCATTTGAAATCTGGTTGTTTAAAACAGTCTAGCACCTCCCCTTTCTCTCTTGTGCTCCCTCTCTTGCTATGTGATGTACCAGCTCCCCCTTCACCTTCTGACATGATTCTAAGTTTCTTGAGGTCCTCACCAGAAGCAGATGCTGGTGCCATGCTTCTTGTACAGACTGCAGAGCCATTACCTCTTTTTATAAATTACCCAGTCTCAGGTATTTCTTTATTGCAATGCAAAAACAGCCTAACACAGGGGACCAGATATTTGAGTCATGAAAGATACATAGGAGGACCAGGTGGATAAGAGGGGAAAGAGCATTCTGAGCAGTGTAATAGCTTGTATACATTTAGAGTTGTGGCCAGGTGTGGTGGCTCACGCGTGTAATCCCAGCACTTTGGGAGGCTGAGGCGGGCAGATCACGAGGTCAGGGGTTCGAGACCAGCCTGGCCAATATGGTGAAACCCCGTCTCCACTAAAAATACAAAAATTAGCCTGCCATGGGGGCATGTGCCTGTAGTCCCAGCTACTTGGGAGGGTGAGGCATGAGAATTGCTTGAACCTGGGAGGCAGAGGTTGCAGTGAGCCAAGATAGTGCCACTGGATTCCACCCTGGGCGACAGAGCGAGACTCCATCTCAAAACAAAAATTCAGAGTTGTACAAGGATTATGGGTTCTAGAATTAGATTCAGTTTTTGGAGTGCAGGAAGCCTATAACAGGAAATGAGTTTAGAGAGGTAGAGAGAGTCCTTACATATTCTATGACAGGAATTTAAATTTTATTTTACACATGATAAGGAGACTAGAATTTTTAAAGTCTGCCAATGACATGATCAGATATCGATTTCAGAAAGATGAGGAGAGTATGCACTATGGCAGAAGTGATGGGAATGGAGAGAGGAGATGAATTTGAGAGGTCTTAAGGTATAGAAACAATAGGATTTGGTAAACATTAAGATGTGGGATGTGGGGAGGGGTCTAGGAGGACCCTGAGGTTGCTGGGTTGTGTGACTAGGTGGATGGTGGTGCCATTATCTAATGTAGGGGTAGGGCGCAGTGGCTCATGCCTGTAATCCCAGGACTTTGGGAGGCCAAGGCGGCCTATCACCTGAGGTCAGGAGTTCAAGACTAGGCTGGACAACATGGCGAAACCCTGTCTTTCCTAACACAAAATTAGCCAGGCATGGTGGTGTGCACCTGCAATCCCAGCTACTCGGGAGGCTGAGGCACAAGAATTGCTTGAACCTGGGAGGCAGAGGTTGCAGTGAGCCAAGATTGTGCCACTGCACTCCAGCCTGGGTGACAGAGTGAGACTCAGTCTCAAAAAAAAAAAAAAAAAAAAAAAAAAAAAAAAAGGAGGGAATACTGGTACCGGATGTAAGCAGATTTGGAAGTAAAGATACAGAGTACAGTTTGGATGCTAAGTTTGAGCTGCTTGTGGGATATTCTCTTGACACCCAGTAGGTGGATGGAAATATAGATCTGGAGCTCATGGGAGTGGATTTGGCAGAAATGTAAAGGCATGAGAAGTTATGACCTAGGTAGAATAAGTGAAGTAGGGAGAGAAGGCAAAGGGTGAAGGTCTAGGGAATACCAACATTTACGAGACACAAAAGTTGACTGAAAAGGAGCCATCGTACACAGATGGAGGAGGAAAAACTGACATGAGGGGGATTCTGGAAAATAAGGAGAGATCAATTTTCAAGAAAGAAGGAAGGCCAACAATGGCCCATGCTACAGAGATCCAAGAAGATAAAACACAAATTGGTCTTTGCTTTAGAGGCCATTGCAATCTTAGGGCAGTTTCATTGGGGTTGTGCGGTGAGAAACGGGAATGCAATGGAAGGAGGAGTAAATGAATGAGGAGAGAATAGAGGTGATGAAGGTAAGGCAAAGGTAGACCATGGTCTCTAGTAGCTTGTTTGTGAAGGAGCTGTTTTTGTTTTAATTAATTTTTTAAAAATTGTGATAAAATAGACATAAAAGTTACTATATTGCCAGGCCCGGGGGCTCATGCCTGTAATCCCAGCACTTTGGGAGGCCAAGGTGGGTGGATCCCCTGAGGTCAGGAGTTCAAGACCAGCCGCCTGACCAACATGGAGAAACCCTGTCTACTAAAAACACAAAATTAGCTGGGTGTGGTGGCACATGCCTGTAATCCCAGCTATTCAGGAGGCTGAGGCAGAATAATCGCTTGCACCCGGGAGGCAGGGGT